AACGGCCCGTACACGTCTTCGTGGACAACCAGGCGGTGGTCGACGGCTTCCAAAGGATCATCGACGGACACTCACCTCCGCAGGGCACGCACGTGGAGTTCTGGGAAAAGGTCCACCGATGTGTCATGGCCAAGCCAAACATGTTCCGCGTAGAGAAAGTCGCTAGCCACCAGGGCGACACGGGCATCGACCTCGGGCTCATCGGGCCCATCGCGGAGGAGTTCAATCGTCAGGCTGACGCCCTCGCCACAGCGGCGGCACGTACTCATAACCTTCCAGACGACATCGTTGAAGCTGCCAAAGCACGACACCGCCAAGCGACCGTGCTCCATGGAGTCGCCGTTGCCATCTACGAGCGGAGACATCGTACACTTCCTCTCCCACACCGCAGGGCTGGGTTCACTGCTGCAGAACTAAACAAAATGGAACCAAATCCCCTGCTGTCTGACCAGGCTCCACCCGCGGCTGGACCAGACATCCCACAAAACCCCGACGAGCTCTGGGCCGAGGCCCAACGGGTGTTATTCGACGAACAGGAGGACGACCCGTTCGGCTTTGGTGGAGGTTTGGACTTCCTGGGCGACGAGTCAGCCAGCGCCAACCCTGCCCCGGCGGGCACCCGCACGGCGCCCCCGACTCCGCCATTGAGTGCGTCAGCCCACCCACATGACAACGCCGTTCCTTTTCAAGACGCTGATGAGCAGGACGATGACCTTTTCAGCCTCGGTGGGGGATCGGACGCTTTGGACGACGGACCAGCCAACGAAAACCCCGCCCCGTCGGGAAACCTCGCAAACCCTACTGCGACGCCGTCCCCAAGAGCGTTAACGCCCACATACGACGATATCGGTCACCGCCAAGACGCCGACCACGACCCGAGTGCCCCCCGAGGATTGGGTGGCATTGAGGACGCACCGCCGACACCACACGCTGCCGACCATGCCGCCCCACCGAGTCACCAACCCTCTACGCGACCGACCTCAGCGGCCTTGCACGGCATCACGACTGGTCCCACCGCGCATACCACTCCGCCTCCCCATCGTCAGCGACCCGCGGGGGCGGCTTCAGCCCCCCCGCAGGGTACTAAACCAGACAGGCCCTCGTGCCCCACCCACGCTTCCTCCGTTGCTGAGCGAGAGGAAGCGGCTCCCCTGACCTCTCGGGGCGCGGCCCTAGCGGCTCCAGCCCTGGGGTCGCGCCGGCCCCTCCAGTCACCTTTTAAGGGTGACGGACGTCAGCGTTCAGGGTCCCGCACGCCGCTAGCCCACCTGGACAGGCGTACCGAGGACCTCGCCTCTGTCTCGAGATCCTCGGCGGATGTCACTGAGCAGCCACCTCTCACCGACCGTGAAACCGAGCTGTCACAGGCTATGGCTGCCCTTCAGCAGAGGTGCTTAGCTCTCGCCGCGGACCTCGCCGCTGCCCAAGCTCGTCAAGGTCCTCTACTCCAGCGCCTCCACAGCGCTGGGCGAGCCTTCGCCGAGCTGCTCACGACCTCGCCCGATGGTGTCGTGCCGTCACTCAACATCCAAGCTATGTTGTCATCGTTCCGCGGCGCTCCACCTGGTGCCCCGCGGTAATCTCCTCCTTTCTGCCTGCCCGTGTGTACGTGTGGCTCCGCGTCCACGGTGTCAGGGCGTGGGGGCGGGGGGTGCCCCGTCACTGCGCGCCGCTTAGCGGCCAAGCGCCCAACTGGCGGTCCGCCAAGCCGCCTAGCCACGTGCCAGCACGTCGCCTTTCTTGTTGGGGCCTTTTACCTCACGCGGTCTGTCAGGTGAGATCTTCATCGTCTGTCCGCCGTCTGTAGCGTCAGTCGCACTGCGCCGGGGGAGGGGGTTTTGTAGCCCGCCCTCGTATCTTAAGGCTGCACCGCCGCAAATAGTGCTTGCGAGTTGTCGCACCGCAGTGCGCCTCGCGGACGGACCCTGGTCCGCCTACTTGTCCGATCTCTCTCTCTCTTCTCTCTCTCTCTCTCTCTCTCTCTCTCTCTCTCTCTCTCTCTCTCTCTCTCTCTCTCTCTCTCTCTCTCTCTCTCTCTCTCTCTCTCTCTCTCTCTCTCTCTCTCTCTCTCTCTCTCTCTCTCTCTCTCTTCTCTCTCTCTCTCTCTCTCTCTCTCTCTCTCTCTCTCTCTCTCTCTCTCTCTCTCTCTCTCTCTCTCTCTCTCTCTCTCTCTCTCTCTCTCTTCTCTCTCTCTCTCTCTCTCTCTCTCTCTCTCTCTCTCTCTCTCTCTCTCTCTCTCTCTCTCTCTCTCTCTCTCTCTCTCTCTCTCTCTCTTCCAACGCAATCGAGTCGTCAGAGACGCGCGCCACTTCGGATGTCATGGCCTCCGCCCCCCGGGGCTTCTGAAAGCCCTGCTTGCCGAAATTGCACAGTGGAAGGCTCTGCTGCTTCGTCTCGGGATCATCCTGGGATCGGCGAAGGGCCGCGGTAACCCTCAGAGTCCTCAGAGCCAATCCCTTGGAGGTGTCCACGACCCCAAAGAGGTCCTCAATCAACCCCTCGGAGATCAGCAACGGGGCCCAGCAGCGGGCCCTCAAGCAATCCTTCGGAGATCAGTAACTTGAATACTCCGTTCCCCCCCTCAAGGCCCACGGGATACTCGGCGACCCAGTTCGACTGTGCAGCCTGGCCTCCCGCGAAGTGGAAACTCCTGCTCGCGCAGGGAACATGCCTGATACATAACCCAAAAGGTCTTCTGAGAGCATAGTCGCGCAAAGCAATCGCGAGGCCCCCGACGATTAGCCTGGAACACCCAGTGTCGACCATACCCTCCAAGATGCCCAAAAATTATGCTGGCGCGCGTCGAGACAAATGCTTCTTGGCCTCCTCGAGGCACTCCCGGAACCTGGGGGGGCCCATCGCGATTCCCGAAGATGAGGACGGCGAGGTGGCTGCGCTCGAGGCCTGCTCGGCCCGCGCAGCCTTTCGGCGTGCCTTCGCCCGCAGGCGGCGCTCGCGGTTCTTGATCTTCGCGGGGAGACCGCCACCTCGGCGTTGGCGGCGACGGTCTGCTCCTCCCCCAGGTCGAGGACGTGGAAATTTTCGAGCTCCTCCGAGCCGTCGGCGTGGTAGACCGCCCTGGCCTGCTCCGTGCTGCTCTTCTGCTTCGGTGGGTTTCTGCGCTCCCTCGTCCAGTGGCCCACCTGATCACATCGGTGGCAGCGCGTCCTCCTCTTCAGCTCCTCGATCTTCTTGCGAGCCTCCTTCTGGTACTCCACGCTGCCCTTGCCGCGGCCGCCGGACTTCCCCTTCGGCGCGCTGACGTCGCGGCACCCCCTGGACGTCTTGCGGCCCCTGGCGATCCACCTCGTCACCCGCCAGTTGCCGCGCCCCCCGTGCCCGGCTTGCCACGCCGCCAGCACCGCGCAGGCCTCGCCCTCGTCGATGATGTCCTCCTCGGCGAGGTCCTCCTGTTCAGAGCCTTCGAGCGCCATCAAAGCCTGACTGATCGGGTCCTCGTCCCGGTCGTGCTCCTCGTCGTCTTCCACCTGGAAAACCTTCGCCGCCCGGTTCTGCCCCGAGTGGTCGCCCTGGTAGCTCCTGGTGGTCTTCTCGAGCGAGCTGTCGTCTCGGAGCCCCGTGAGCGCCGTTCTGACGTCGTCGCAAGCCAGCGAGCCCGACGTCTGCAGGATCACCGCCATGTGCTCCGCGTGGTCCAGCTTCGCCTGCCTGACGAGTAAGTAGCCCTGCGCGTCGTCCAACATCACCTGTAGCTTCTTCAATATGTCGAACGCCTTCTTGGTCTTCATGGAGTGCTGCTGTCGGCTCTCCCTTTTTGCGCTCCAACCCGTAGAAGGCGTGCTCGGACTCCAAGCGTTTCTCGTACACATTCTTCGGCATGATCGCCTGTTCGTGAGCCCTGACGATGTTTCTTACTCCGTCCTCACCATCGGGCTTATTCTGGTCGAGACCTTCAACAATGCTCTGGATCTGTTCGTCGCCGCACGCGTGGAAACCCCACTGGTGCGTTGGGATCCCCGTCGCCACCAAAGAACCATATCCACAACCTCCGGACGTACCTGCGCAGCTCCTCGATGGTCGAATCCCTGGATGTCCTCCTCTTTGTCTCCCATGTTGTGATTAGTCCTCCATGAATCGCCCCACTCCTGCTTGGAACTTCTCGCGTCGTGGAGCGGCCATCACATGCCTCCTGCCCCTGCTTGAGTTTGACAAGGGAAAAACGAATCGCCCCGTCGTGGCGGAACCATAGCTTCGCCTCTGCAGACCCCGTCGCCTGTAGAAAGAACCATCCTCGGCGGTCGATGACGTCCTTGAGATCGGGCGGTCGAGAACATACCGCGGGCATTCGGCACCCTGACCGCCTCGCCATTTTTTCCGTACCCAGTTTCGTTCGTCGTCCCTTCTTTGTCTCCCTGTTGTCGTCGTCCCTCTCTCCGCCAAGTTGTCCCTCCACCGTGCGTCTCGAAAGCCGGTGGTGGAATCGCCCCACTCCTGAAGGCGCGGCACTCCGCGGGAATTCGCCACTCGCTACCACCGCTGCGGGGACGGGGGAATTAGCGTGACTTCTCGACCGTCCTTTGCGGTAACTATGCTTCAGGCACACTGTTCCGCCTCCATGGGGCCGAAGCCCTGCTTGAGCAAAATGATTACGGAAGGGACTGATGTCTGGCATGAATGGATGCTTGGAAACATCCAAGGGGCTTGGACACTTGCTGTTGTCATGGAAGCCGCACATGGCTGCGGGAACGCTCAGGAAACCATCAGTGAACAGCCGTCGCTCAGCCAGGGGCCTCTGCCGCAGTTCCACGGCAGACCGAGCCATACAAACAGTTCATCGTCTGTTTGGAGCTTCCCCTAGGCTGGCGCGCGGGAGGAGCAGGAGGAGGAGGAGGAGGAGGAGGAGGAGGATGAGGAGGAGGAGGAGGAGGAGGAGGAGGAGGAGGAGGAGGAGGAGGCCCCCTCTAGGGAGCCCTGAGGCCTCGGCCCTCGAGCGAGCGAGGGAAGGTTCCGAGGCCGGGCCGCATTGGGGCGGAGAGCACGCGCGCTCGCGGTCCCCCTCGCGGCTGCGCGAGCCGCCCCTGGCCACCTGGAGGGGGACACGCTGACTGGGCGGGGGGGCGGGAAATTTGGACGCCCAAAATGGGCGCAATGCTCAAGAACAAATGTTGTCCCAAACCAACAGCGGCCGCTGTTGGGCAGGCGGCCTTCTGTCTCAAATGGACACAGGCCGCGGCGACACCGACAGCGAGTCCTGTTCAAAATGAACAAGAACTACTGTTGGGCATTGTGCCCATTTTTTCCGTACCCCTTTCGTTCGTGCCGAGAACACCGGCGCACGGGGGAGGAAGCCGTGGCCCGGCATCGGCGATACCTCGCCGACGGATCGGCGATACAGTCGACCCGTAGAACAAGGACGCACGATGAGGATGCAAGGGCCTTGGGAGGCCATGTCGACACTTTGCGAGCGGGGCGCGGCCAGCGAAAGCGGCCAAGGATGGGCCAAAAGGGGAAGGATGCAAGGGTAACCTTGGAAAGTCGTTCATCCTTACCATGCGGGTCGACTGCACATTGCCGACGGATCGGTGATACAGTGGGCTGCTGACAGAAGGTGCGATAATTAAGGAACGCGGCCCATCGCTGGCCCCCCCCCAAAAACGCCTTGCGTGCACGAGGAGGGTTCGAGGAACCGCCATGGAAAGACCCAAGGAGCAGCGACCCCCTCCCGGACCCGAACCGTCCCTCATCTCGACGTCCTGACTGCAGGCACCCGATAGCGAATCCGCACGGTACTGAGCGGGGGGGGGCTATCGGGCCCCCATCGGCGATAAATGGGCGATTGAGCTTTCCGCCTGGATATTAGCCATCCCTGCAATATGTTCCGATCTGGTCTCCTGCTCCCCTGAAAATAGGTTTCGTGAGGAATGCTCCGGGGGCTTCGACAAGGTGGCGCGATGGTGGTGCGGAGAGGAGCATATTCACTGATTGGGCGCCGTCGGTGCATCCCGTGAGTCTTTCCCGTCCCTGGGGGGTCTTTGGGTCATGACTCGGGCCTTGGGCGGCCGCTCGGGACGATCCAGGCACCTTCCGGAACGCTCCCGGCGAGGCGCAGCGGCTGACGAGCACCCCGAGACTGGAAGCCTGCCCGGTTCCGACGAGAACGCCCGAAAGCGCCTAATCTCGAACCTCTCCTGAGCCCTCTGTGGCAACTCATGGAAGACGCGCGTGCCATCTTGCTGGCTTCTACAAACGGACGCTACATCGACGCTGACCGACGCCTCATCAACGCAAATCGATGCTGAATCTGCGCTGTATCCCGGATATCCAAATTCTAGCGCACGCTACTGCACTCTGAAAAAACGGAATGTTGAGAACATACAAGACAAGGCCCCCATGACTTGCACGCGAAAAACACCTAACCTCAAACCTCTCCTGATGTTTATGTGTCAACTCATGGGGTACACGCATGCCATACTGTTGGCCCTTGCGAACCGACGGTAACCGACACTACATCGCCTCTAGATCGACGCTAATCGATAATGCGTCGGCGGTGTCTCAACAATTACCAAACGCTAGCGCACGCCGAGGCACCCTGCAGGCGGAATTTTTGAGGACATACAAGGCTCCCATGAATTGCGAACGACTGAACGCGTCTAGCTTCGCACCTCTCCTAGACGATAAAGGGGGTTCTGGAAACCCTGACCCCAAAACAGTGTCATCTCTTGGGAAAGCCGGGCGTCGAACAATGCGGGTGCGATCAATGTGAGATGAAGCAGTGTGCACCTTTTGCGCCCTGGCAGGACCCTAAATTTTAGGGCCCCCCTGGGGCCCAAAAGGGGCACGACGGGTGCGCATTTCTTCCCTCCCCATTCATCGCCCCCCATCAGCTGCCACCCGAGAAAAAGCAACGAGGCAGAGACGGCACCCCCTTCGATCCTCGAGTGCGAAGCCCATGCTGGAGTGCCCAAGCAGCCAGAAAACTTGGCCTAAGATGCCTCGAGGCGGCCAGACATGGCCTGCAGACGCGCCAACATGCCACAAGGCCACCTCTGGGGTCGGCGGAATGGCGTACAGCCTCGTTACTGCCAGAGGGAACGCCGAAGAAGGAACGAAGAGGTTTCCTGGCCACGGCGGGTCTCGTTCACGAATGGGCTACCCGACCAGGACCCAAGACCTGAGGAACGGCCCGAAAACCCGAGCCCCCCCTGAGCCCAAAGTGGTCCTTATGCCAGCGCTTGACTGCAAGCCTCTTGAACAAACCGGCGGCGAGCCTGGGGGGAAGTGAGAAGCGGCGGGCCCTCTCAGAAGGCTCGCAATTCCCCCAGCCTCCTGAGAAATGCTCAAAGCCCTCCCCGAAGACACAGAAACCCTCTCAGAAGGCTGGAAGGCTTCTGAGAAGCCCCGCCGCCTTCTGAGAAGGTCTTCTCCTTCTCACTTCCCTCCCTCGCTCGCAACCGACAAAATACACCATCCCCAGACCACCGACGTCACGACTTTTTCGTGACGTCGACCCCCAAAGGTCTCGACCCACTCCCCCGGACCGGTGTTTCATCCTGAGCCGATGTTTGTCGGTCCCGAGGCCAGGCGAGGGCCCCCGGGGGCCGAAAATAGCGACAGACCTCCCATCGTGAGATTCTCCTGGCCCAAAGAAGAGGAGGAGTAGGAGGAGCAGGGGGTCTGGAGGAGGAGGAGGAGGAGGATTGGGAGGAGGAGGAGCAGGATGAGGAGGAGGAGGACCAGTGTAAAACCAAGAGCCATCAACGATGTTGGAATCTACAACGGTTCAGTTCCATTGAGGAATCTGCCTCGTTGGCAGTCAGCCGTTTGAGGACCCGGAGCATACCACACATTGTTCTCGGGATTCCAACGCCACGGATCAACCTGACTGTTGCGTCTTGACGATCAATGCCATTCTTGGGATTTCAACACCGCGAACCAACGTTACTGCTGCTCCGGCGAAACCCTTAATCCTTCCATAATGCAATTTCTGGTACGTTGACCGTGGGAATCCGTGAAACTCTTGCAAATGTCATGAACGTATGTGCGAGGCGCAGAGGCGAGAGCCACAGTTTGAAAAGGAACCGCCCTCAATCCGTGAAGCTCTTGCAACTATTTAGAACGAATGTGCGCGGCCTCAAGGCGAGAGCCACAGTTTGAAAACGGCTCTTGCATTTTTTTATACATAAAAAAGAATGCGCGCGGAGCTAAAGCGAGAACCACATTTTGAAAACGGACGAACCTCAATCCGTGAAGCTCTTGCACATGTTGAAATTGAATGTGCGCGGCGCCAAGGCGAGAGCCACATTTTGAAAACCACCCGCCCTCCATATGCGAAGCTGTTGCCAATTTTTACCTAATCGTAAATAATGAAGAAGTCTCAAGCGAAACGCCCAGCCAGCCCAAAAAACTGGCCCCGGGGCGCGACAGGGAGGAATAATTCATAAGGACAAGGAATGGAGGAGGAGGAGGAGGAGGAGGAGGAGGAGGAGGAGGAGAAGGAGGAGGAGGAGGAGGAGGAGGAAGAGGACGAGGAGGAGGAGGAGGAGGAAGAGGACGAGGAGGAGGACGAGGAGGAGGAGGAGGCGCTCGAGTTGACTCTGGATCCAGAGTCAACTCGAGCGCCTCGAGGAGGAGGAGGCGGAGGAGGAGGCGCGCGAGGAGGAGGAGGAGACGACGTAACCAAGAAGGTCCGTCCGACCGCCAACCTCGACCTCGGTCGACGCGAACGCATCGACAGAGGGAGAGCGGGTCCCAGCTGGGTGGCGCTTGGGTTCATTTTCGGCCTCCCGAAGGGCGTCGCAACCCGTTGCCACTTCCGCCACCAGGAGGGCCCGCGCAAAAAATGGCGCTCGCAGCAGACCAGATGTGAGGAGATTCGCCTCGCGAACGAGGGCAAAAAAAAAAAAAGAGGGTGGAAGGACAGAGCCTGTCATTGCATGACAGGCCCCACCCCCCTAAAGAATGAGCCGCGAGGCGCAGGGCACTGCGGGAGAGTCATCGACCGCAACATGCCAACGCCTCTGGTGCCTCTGTCAATCCCACATCCAACCCATGCCCGACCTGCCCCAGCCCCTCCGAGAGATTGAGAGTGCACGCGGCGCTGTGCGAGAGAGCCCTCGATCGCACAGCAAGCTAGGTTATGAATGTGACCCCCACCCCTGATATTCACACCAGCCCAACACGAATAAAGAAGAGGGCACGTGCTTATCTTTCGAGTGCCAACTCTGCGGCACCTCGAATGTCGGTGGCCTGCTGCAATGTCATAGTTTGCGCCCTCGGCGCTTTATGGTACATCTGGAAGGCAAGTGCTGTCGCCTTAAGGCACTCGGCTCGACTGAGCTCGGCGCCTTCGATCTGATAATCGCTCTCTTCCCCGAGGCCTAGGAGAGTGAGCGGGCTGGCTGGAAAGTGCCTGCGTGCCCATGCTGGGTGGCAGGCGCAATGATAATATAATCTTGGGCAGTTCAAATAGTGCGATATCGCATCTGGGGCAGTGCACCCCCAGACGCAGCTGGTTGGGGGGTGCCCGATATGGAGTCTGTGGGTGGTCGTCCACGCGCCACACAGCGTTTTGAAAATGCTCCACTGCCAGGACGGCTTGAGGGTCGCAAGGCAAGTTTTGCATGCAGCCCACCTCCCAACGACCGACCTCAGCCCCCCAGGAATCTCCACTTGCCAAGCGAGCAGCCTCTTGCCAAGAGTGGTGTGAAAGGAATCGGGAAAGGCAAATGGGCGGAGCGTGCGTGCAAATATCCTCTGCGGATGAGGGCGAAGGGCTTCCTGTTCCGCACGTGCGGTGTGCTCGCGCGCTGCTCGAAATGCATCTCGCCACCCAGCAGCATTAGGGAAGCGAGGAGGCGGCAACCTTGAACGTTCTAGAAATTGGGCGATTGAAAATGGTCGCCGCCAGCACGGTGCCGAGAACTTTCCTGCAATAATGCGAACGATGGTAGCATTGTCCTGCGCATGCTGCTTCAGGCTAGACAACGCTCTCTGCCAAACATGATTCAGTGTGCGAAATGATGTACGCCATGCACTAGCCCAGCCAAGCAGCTGGACAGAGGACGGGGCAATGGCTAAAAACGATGGGAGGGCATTCAGATCGGCGAGGCTGAGGCTGTTCGGCGGGAGCCTGAGCAGCTTGTGCAATGCCTGATGCTCTAGCTTACGAATCATGGCGGGGATCGGAAAGAGCTGGGCAAGATACGACAGGGTCGAGAGGGCTGTCGTGTTGTACAACATTGACAGAACAGACGGCGCAGCCCCTGAGTGTGGTAGCGCAACTGTACGCGTCCACCATTTCTCCGCTGCTGGGGACCAAATCATACTGAGAATTGCCTCGGGACCCATTTCGACCCCAAGATAAGTCGTGTGGCCAGCGATTTTAAAGTTGGCCCATTCAGGAATCAACCGACGGAGCTCACTTCGGACCGCGTCCTGGATTTCAGGCGTGCATTCGGCCCAAAGGGGGACCAGGACGCATTTGGCTCCTTGAAGCCTGAGGCACGCAAAACGCTCGACGTCCCGAAAAACTTTGGCCACAGGGACCAGGTCCTGAAGGCGAGGCATCACCATCCCCACGTCGTCCGCACACCCGCCCAAAGAGCCCTTGTGGTGCCTCGCCCTCGGGAGCTGCGTGGCAGCATGAAGGCATCTAAGGATCGGATCCATTGCCAATGCCCATAGCGAGCCAGACAAGGGGCAGCCCTGGAGAACTCCAGAGCAAAGATGAAATAAAAAGACGATCTGATTTTGGATCCGAGCGAAGCCTCTAGGGAGGAAGTAGAGGGCACGAATGAAGTGGAGGAAGCCAGTCGGGAGCCCAGCCCTACTCAGAATCTCGAACAGCCACTGATGGCCGAGGGACGGGAAGGCCGCCTCCACATCGTAGGCGGCGAAGATCGGAAGGTCCTGGGCAGCCTCTGGGTTGATGCTCGCCTTTCGGGCCTCGGCATCCAGCGTGACGATATTCGACAGGAAGTTACGGCCTGGGATGAAACCTTGTTGGGACTCATGGGCGCTCTGTTGGGCAACCTGACGGATCTGAAAGTTAGCAGCAGATGCCATTATCTTTGTGTCCGTGTTCCTGAGGCTAAGAGGACGGACCTTTGCAGGTGACCGTATACATCCTTGGGCATCTTCGGGCTCCGAACCTTTAGGGAGAAACGCGAAGAGGCTGTCGTTGAGCTCCATGGGGACTGCGTGGCCTCCAAACAGATAAGTCATGAGATTGTGTAGCACTGTTAGTTGTTCTGGGCGAGCTTTCCATGCTGTGTACGAAAGCTGGTCGGGTCCAGGGGCCGAACGTCGAGCACATCTGAGAGCACGTCCTAAATCACCTTCTGTTGGAAGTCTAAGAGGTAGAAGGGGACGCGGTGGGGCAACTCGATCAAGATACTCCTGAAGGGGCTCCTCCTGGACTAGTTTCGCACCGAAGATGGGCTTCCAGTGGGAGGTCAGGGCGATGGCGATCTTTTCGGGGTCACGGGCGACTGGTGAGTGCTGAAGGCTCTCGGGTTTTATCCCCGCAAGAACGAGACGACGGGTCTTGGGGGCCCACAATGACGCTCGTCGCTTATGCATCCGTGCCGCTCGTCTCTCATCCTCGATCACCGCTCCGTCCCCCTTGGATGCCCTGCTTTCGGCAAGCCTGGCCTCCCTCATCTGGTAGTCGTAGTTGATGGCACGCATCAAGGCGCCGAACTCCTGCCGCTCGCCGAGCTCGACGCAGCCGTTGGAGACGGTCAGGAAGCGCTCGCCGTCGGCCGTGGTGGCCATCAGCTTGTAGGCGGTGCCAACATCGTTGCGCCAGACACATCGTGAGATAGCTCGGAGCGTGATAAGGCGCCCCCCCTTGGCACGAGGGTCCTTGGCGGAAATCGGCATGCACTGCAACTCATTGCGGACTTGGCGTGCCGCCTCAGACATGAAGTCCTTCATGCATCTCCACTGGTAGACCGCAGGAAATCGATGTAGTTGTGCAGCATCGAGAAGCTGACCGAGAATTTCACCATAGCGCGGATCTCGAAGGACGTGCTCTGGTATGCCTGTCTGTTCACTCTGGCGGGCTCGATCCCTAAGATGCAGGGTGATCGGCGTGTGGTCGCTGAGCCTGGAGTCCGAGATGGCGGCAGCATCAATATCCACCTCCGCGATCACCTCAACGTCGAGCAGGTAGTACGCTGGGGTGGCAATGAAGAACCTATCCAGTGTAGCCGCCGTGGACGTATCTCTGCAGTAATGTGTAGGGCAGTCCGTGGAGATCTCCGTAACCATCGCAAAGAGTCTTTCCCAGAACGCTTGCAAAGGTTGAGTGCCCCGAGCCGTCTCAGCAGGCAGCGTTCCTGGCGAGAATGTCTGAGAAACAGGATCGGTGTAGCTACGTGTAGGACCTGACTTGACATTGAAATCTCCAGCAGCCACAAACGCTCTAGTAACAGGGTTCTCAATATTCCATTGAACCATGTCCTTCCATGTGTGCGCAATCTTGGTCTGGGCAATGATGTCCAACTCGAAGTTGTGTACGTTCATGATCTTCATCGTGAAGTTGTCGGCGGCGTTGTGTATTGTGAGAAGGGCCACCCTTCCCGCGGCCAATATCTGATGGTCAAAGAACACCTGAGGGTCCTCCTGGTCACGATCTGCCATTGGCACCAAGAATGCTGTGCCTCCCGCCTTCTGCGAGAGGTGATTGTAGAAGATCTTGTAAGGGTATGGATACGTAGCGAGGGCCGCCTGCAATTTAGGTAGTGTTCCACGGCATTCCTGCAATAAGATAACCGCTTTCTTACGCATGAACGAGACAAGTTTGTTCATCTTGGCTTTGCGGCGCCTTGGACGATAGCAAATCAAACTCCTGGCATTCCACGATATGATGGTACCATTGCGCATTGACGGTGATGTTGACCAGGGTGACCACCTTCTGCTAAATAGACCACGAAGATGTGTCCACGCTCGCGAATGCCTGTCCAAATGCAGCCACCAGAGGTTGTTTGTCAATCTTGAATCGTGCGAGGATTGGCATGTCCCAGCGTAGCTTGGATGGTTCATCAGGGCCCTTGACTTCGACAACGACGAGCGGCACTGCATCAATGGTGACAATGCCCTTGCTTCTCTGGGCGCCGATGTGGTGATCGTGGTATGCGTCCTGAATGATGCGCTGCAAACGCTTGGTCTGAAGTTCGAGTCTGACCTGCTTGGGGCTCTTGTCTCCGCTGACATAGATGGGCGTGTTGACCCCACCGGTGTCAAACCCGCTGAAGGTGCGGAAGCCAGTTGACGTCTTGAGGGCACGAGAGAGAGCGAGGGCTCGCCCATGTGCTGCTGCTCCACCTTGAACTTGCATATGAAATCGCCGCTGAGGTACATCACCGTGAAGAATAAGCTGGTCCACTGGAACACCCGACGCCTGAATCCACTCCGCGAGCGCTGCTTTGATGGCAGCTGGTGCAATCGCCCTGGGGGCGCCGATGCTGAATACTGTGGGGTCCGGGACGCGGTCCCATGTGGCGAGCTTCTGAACATCGAAGGGGACGGCAGCCTCCGCCATTGCCAGTGTCTGTTCCATTGCGCTGATCTGCTGCCGCATCTTGGCCTGATCTGCTTCCACTTTGTCAGCTCTGGCCTGGAGCTCATGGATGCCTTTGTCATGTACTTCGAGGTGAGCGGCGTTTTGTTTGCTGACTGCCAAGAATTCTGCCACCTGTGCGCTGAAGGCTTGCTGCTGCTTTGCAATGAGGGAATTCGCCGTCGCCATGAGTTGTTCCGTCGCCGATGCAATCTGTTCTTTACCCAGTGTCGCCAGCCTTTGCTCAAGACTAGCCAGATCACCATGAGCAGGAGGGGGGTCATCTTCAGCGCGTGGGGTAGGAAGTCCACCGACAGGCGTGCCTGCTGCAGGTAGTTCACCGTCAGGAAATGTAGGCATGAGCTCCATGTCGCGTAGCACTTGTTGCGCAGCTCGCGGTGAAAGTGGGAAGTGCTGCGGCTCATGAGTTCGAGCAGGTCCCCCACTAGCTCCAGCACATCGCATAGAACCCGCGGCCGCTTGCCAAGGGTCTCGTTCAGCAACCGTGTCCTTGCGTGCTGCCGAAGGTCCAGATCTCCGAGCGACGCGTGCACCTGAACCGTTCTCTCTATCTTCCCGATCGTCCCTGCGAGGTATTCGGTCCTGTTCCCGATCCTTGTCGTCAGCCCCGCGGTCGTCTCCCCGATGTTCGCGGCGGTCTCGGCGTCGACGATGGCGGCGCTCAGCACTGTTGTCGGGGCCGCTGCGACTCTTGGAGTCACTGTTATCCCGTCGTCGATCACGGGTAGCTTGATGACGTCGGCGAGGTCCACGGGACGAGGAAGTACTGGAACTGGATTCTCCCATGTCTTCAGCTGCGAGGGAACTGCTGCCAGTCTGCTGCCACTGAGCGGGTCCAATTTTATGCCAGCGAGCCGTGAGGTCGAGGGTACCACCTGCCGCACGTACAGGAGCGGGGCGAGTGAGCACGCCACCGTCTGCTGCTGCACCACAAGAAAGAGCACGGCGTGCCCGATGCGCCGCAGCGCTGAATATGGAATGCCCGCGGGCGCGGCCGCGCGGGACTTAGATATGGAGGGGCGAGGGCTGGCGCAGGGCCCGTGCAGTGGCGCCGAGAGCTGATCGAAGCACTGTGGGAGCCTACCCCGCGAAGGCAATGAAATGGACACCATTTTGGCCTTGAGCCAAAATGGCTACGGAGCGAGGAGGAGGAGGAGGAGGAGGAGGAGGAGGAGGAGGAGGAGGAGGAAGAGGAAGAGGAGGAGGAGGAGGAGGAGGAGGAGGAGGAGGAGGCGCGCGAGGAGGAGGAAGAGGAGGAGGAGGAGGAGGAGGAGGAGGAGAAGGAGGAGTAGGAGGGAGGAGGAGGAGGAGGAGGAGGAGGAGGAGGAGGAGGAGGAGGAGGAGGAGGAGGAGTCAACTCGAGCGCCTCCTGAGCACTGCAGATCCCCCCCCAGCGCTGCCGCTGCCCACCAGCACCGCGCGGCGACCGCCCCGCTCCCGGCCCTCGCAGCTGCGCGACGCCCGCCCCCTGCGGAGGCCCTCCTGGCGTGCCTCGCAGGGGCGTCCGAGAGCCCAGGACCCCCCTCGAGCCACGAAAAAATCACGACGGCATCTGGGGGCCCTTGCCAAGAAGCACCCTGCTTGCCTCCAAGGTGCCCCGGGTTGCTTGATTTTCGATGGTTTTGCTGTGGGAGGCGTGGCGTTTCCACACTAGAAATCCATGGACATTCTGGGGTCTCAGGGTTGGGTTTCTTGTGGAAAATTTCTTGTGCACGGGTGTCTGGGGGCCCTTGCCGGGCCTCGAGGCCGTCCAACAACGACCCGGGAGGAAAAACCGGTCCCAGGGAATGTGTCGAGACCTCTGGGGGTCAACGTTCTGAAAAATCATGGGGTCTGAGGTCTGGGAGGGGGGGGTCCAAGCGGGGGGCTCGCAAATCAGGACCCGAAGCATGTGCGCGGTCCACTGGGGGCTCGGGAACGCATTGAAATAAGAAGACAGGGGGCATGACTTCTGAAGACATATCCTGGCCCTGGCCACTGTGTCCCCCCCACACCCCTAGTCATCGCCCCCCTCTTGCCCGCCCCAGAGCCTCGCGGCGCACCGCGGCGCGAACCGCCGTGGCCACGCCGCGGGGGCCGCGGCGGCCGCCGCTGGAGCCGCTGCTCGGGGAGCGCTTGCGCCTCGATAGGGAAGTGCCCCATACTTGTAACGTGTGTATATATATAGGTATGTGTATATATATATACACATACATACATACATACATACATACATACATACATACATACATACATACATACATACATACATACATACATACATATGTATATACATATGTATATATATATACACAAGACTGCAGTGGCACTTCGCGCCACGCACCTTGGCCCTTGAAGTTTGGTATGCAGGCGGAATAGCAGGAAGGTGAAGCCGACAATTTAGCGATAACTCCTTGTTGCCTTTCCCGGCATTCCTCCTCCATGCTTCTTTTTCATCATTTTCGCCATACCCTGCGCATTCTCCCCATCCTCCTCAGCTCTTTTTCCCAACCATCCTGTGGTGTTGGGTCCTCGCTTTGAAGAGACGGTGCCCCGCGATCTCCTTCCTTCCTTCCTTCCTTCCTTCCTTCCTCCCGCTGCCTCCTCCCCCCTCCAATCATCATCATCATCATCAACACCCAATTCGGCACACCCCTCACACGTTTCGTGGCTCCATAGGGAGCTCCACCGAAGGCCCCAGTGGCCGCGGCCGCATGCGTCACCCACACCCATTTCGGCACACCCCTCACACGTTTCGTGGCTCCATAGGGAGCTCCACCGAAGGCCCCAGTGGCCGCGGCCGCATGCGTCACCCACACCATTTCGGCACCCCTCACACGTTTCGTGGCTCCATAGGGAGCTCCACAGAAGGCCCCAGTGCCCGCGGCCGCATGCGTCACCCACACCCATTTCGGCACACCCCTCACACGTTTCGTGGCTCCATAGGGAGCTCCACCGAAGGCCCCAGTGCCCGCGGCCGCATGCGTCACCCACACCCATTTCGGCACACCCCTCACACGTTTCGTGGCTCCATAGGGAGCTCCACCGAAGGCCCCAGTGCCCGCGCCCGCATGCGTCACCCACACCCATTTCGGCACACCCCTCACACGTTTCGTGGCTCCATAGGGAGCTCCACCGAAGGCCCCAGTGCCCGCGGCCGCATGCGTCACCCACACCCATTTCGGCACACCCCTCACACGTTTCGTGGCTCCATAGGGAGCTCCACCGAAGGCCCCAGTGCCCGCGGCCGCATGCGTCACCCACACCCATTTCGGCACACCCCTCACACGTTTCGTGGCTCCATAGGGAGCTCCACCGAAGGCCCCAGTGCCCGCGGCCGCATGCGTCACCCACACCCATTTCGGCACACCCCTCACACGTTTCGTGGCTCCATAGGGAGCTCCACCGAAGGCCCCAGTGCCCGCGGCCGCATGCGTCACCCACACCCATTTCGGCACACCCCTCACACGTTTCGTGGCTCCATAGGGAGCTCCACCGAAGGCCCCAGTGCCCGCGGCCGCATGCGTCACCCACACCCATTTCGGCACACCCCTCACACGTTTCGTGGCTCCATAGGGAGCTCCACCGAAGGCCCCAGTGCCCGCGGCCGCATGCGTCACCCACACCCATTTCGGCACACCCCTCACACGTTTCGTGGCTCCATAGGGAGCTCCACCGAAGGCCCCAGTGCCCGCGCCCGCATGCGTCACCCACACCCATTTCGGCACACCCCTCACACGTTTCGTGGCTCCATAGGGAGCTCCACCGAAGGCCCCAGTGCCCGCGGCCGCATGCGTCACCCACACCCATTTCGGCACACCCCTCACACGTTCGTGGCTCCATAGGGAGCTCCACCGAAGGCCCAGTCATGCGCCCCCACACCCATTTCGGCACACCCCTCACACGTTTCGTGGCTCCATAGGGAGCTCCACCGAAGGCCCCAGTGCCCGCGGCCGCATGCGTCCCCCACACCCATTTCGGCACACCCCTCACACGTTTCGTGGCTCCATAGGGAGCTCCACCGAAGGCCCCAGTGCCCGCGGCCGCATGCGTCCCCCACACCCATTTCGGCACACCCCTCACACGTTTCGTGGCTCCATAGGGAGCTCCACCGAAGGCCCCAGTGCCCGCGGCCGCATGCGTCCCCACACCCATTTCGGCACACCCCTCACACGTTTCGTGGCTCCATAGGGAGCTCCACCGAAGGCCCCAGTGCCCGCGGCCGCATGCGTCCCCCACACCCATTTCGGCACACCCCTCACACGTTTCGTGGCTCCATAGGGAGCTCCACCGAAGGCCCCAGTGCCCGCGGCCGCATGCGTCACCCACAGCCATTTCGGCACACCCCTCACACGTTTCGTGGCTCCATAGGGAGCTCCACCGAAGGCCTCAGTGCCGCCGCCCGCATGCGTCACCCCCACCCATTTCGGCCCCCCCCGCATTTCTCGCACGGCAGGGTCATCACCACGGTGGCGTGCCAGGGGCGCACCATGCGCGAAGGCGACGGGGCGGGGGAACGGCGCTCCGGGGGCGGCCAGACCTCCGGGCGCGAGCAGTCCGCGGCCAGACCATCTCTCGGTCCTGTGGACTCTCGCCCTGGGCCGTCGGCTGCCCGGCGCGCTGCTCCCTCGGTCGACGTCGCCCAGGCGTGATCCTGGATTGCGGCCGCCACGAGGTAGGGAACGGCAAGAAGGAGGACGACGACTGGTGGCTGGAGCTCTACGTGCTGCTCTCGCGCGCCACGCGCCACGAGGACCTCCTGCTCATGCGGGCGCCGCGCATCGAGTTCTTCCTGGCAGGGCCGCCGCAGGGCTTGCGGAAGCAGCTGGAGCAGTTTGCGGCGCGCACGAAGCGGTGCAGGAGGGAAGCGACGGCCCTCGCCAGGGAGCTCGGCTTCACCGAGTTCATCCGCGAGGCCTGACCTGAGGAGCGTCTCCCCCGAGCCGCGCCTTCTCTCGACTGCCCGACTAATTGTTTGGCCTCGCGCCGCGGACGACCCGCGCGCGTCGCTGGGACCCTCTCGGGGCGACCAGCGCGCGTCGCGGGAACTCCGTGCTGCGGGGGGCCCGGCGCCTCGTTCGCCCGTCGTCGCTCTGCCCAGCGGTCAGAGACTTGCCCGCTATCAGCCAGCCAGTTAGCTAGTCAGCTCTCTCTGCTTCGCGCAGCGGACGACCCGCGCGCGTCGCTGGGCCCCGCCCGGGGCGACCAGCGCGCGTCGCGGGGACTCCGCGCTGCGCTGCGCCCGCAGCCTTGGATTTTGGAGTGCGCGGGCAAAGAGGAAGGAAAAAAAAGAGCCGAAAGCGGGCGCGATCCTCGCAAGAGGCGTGCCGACATGGGCGTCGCGACGTGCGGACGCTGCCGTCGGGGTTCCCGCGGAAGCTGCCTGCGGCGGCCACGCCCAGTGTCACGTGCGTTCGGACAGGCATGCTCGAACCATTCACATTCATATACACTTACACTAGGCGTTTCCATGATCGCACTCATGCAAATATATTCATTCGCGCGCAGACCCATTCATACTCAGATTCCCTCGCGCTCTGACTCACCCGCGTTCTTTCTTTCGTAATCAGATCTATCGTATTCCTTTGCGTTGTGTACCCCGCCACATTTCGGCACACCCCTCATGCGGTTCGTGGCCCCATAGGGAGCGCCACCGAAGAAGATACTCACAATTGCGATACTCACAACTGCATATGGTTGGGTCCTTCGCCAGGATAATTTGCGGAGGCTCCTCCTTGGAGAGCCTCTGGGAGCCTCACAACAGCTGCTTCAGGTTTTCTTAAAGCCTTCTGGAGGCCTCCTGTATTCTGGGTGCCTCAGGGGGCTTCCTCGGGCCACCCTGCCTCCAACAGCGGTCTCCCCGAACGACCGGGTCACGATTTGGAATGTTTCGGACGGTGTTTGGGGGCCATCCTGGGCCGCCATGGGGCTCTCTGAGGGCCATCTTGGATCCGTGTTGTGCCGTTTTGGGGCTCTCTTGGACTGCCTGGAAGCCCTCTCGGATGGTTGGCGAGTATGATGACTAGAACCACGCGCGCGCTTCGCGCGCGCTTAGGTTCTAGCGTGTCACAGACACAGGACTCGCTGTGCGAAAAAATGTTTGAAGTTCGTCTCAGGCACATGAGGACTCCAGTGGCAACACCTGCTGAGGCACCGCCAGGGACGGACCCTGTGTAGAGTGTGTGGAATGTCGGACCAGCTCTCTGGTCGACCCTGTTGGGCGCGCCCTGGGGCTCTCTTGGGCCGTTCTGGGGGGCCCATCGGGGGGTTGTTTCGAAGCCTCTTTTGGTGTTTTTTCTGGTCTCTTGGGGGCCTCTTGGGGTTTTTTGGGCGCTTCTTGGAGCCACATGTGGTCTCCTGGGGCCCTCTTGGGCCAAACCGCTCGAATATTCGGTTCCTCGTCCCCGTCTTGGGCGCCGACTTGGGACGCTCTTGGGCGGATTGGGCGCCTCGAGCGCCGTCTCGGCCCCCTCGTGGGCCGTCTTGGAGCACTCTTGGGGGGGACATCCTCG